TCCCCTTTTTCCTGAGGCTCAGAAGCATCAGGAGGCTTCCCGAGGCTCAAAGCCTCCCGAGCCTCATCCTCTTCCTCCTCCTCCTCCTCCTCCTCCTGCTTACTCCTCCTCCTGCTCCCTCCCTTTTTTCTTCCTCCGATTCAAGCCTTATTGAAAAATGCCCTGAGGCCTCCTTCCAAATGCCCGGAAATCCGCCATTTCAGTTTTAAAACGTTTTCCACGAGCCTTCATATTTTCCACGGGGTTTTCGAAGCTTCTCTCAGGGGCTCTGGGGGCTCTCCAAGGGGCTCCAGAGTCTGCCCATGCGGCTCTGGGGGCTTTCCCAGAGGTTGTTGGGCCTCTCCCAGGGAGGTTTTGGGCCGTTCGGGCGTGGCGATACGTAGAAGCAAGGCATAAGCAGGGCGATTGCGAAGGCGATGTGCCATCTGGGCTGGAGATGTCGAAGTGCCTCGGAAGAGGTGTTGTCAAGACCTCCTCGGGTGGGATATCTGTGTAAGGGCATATCGAACCCCTTGTGCAAGAACATATCCCCCATGAGGGGGATCAATCATGATGGATGCATGCTACATCTAGAATCATGGAGCATCCGGGTAACATGATTGTTGTGCCTGATGTTGTGACTGTTGTTGTTGGTGTTGGTGTTGGTGTTGTTGTTATTGTGAGACGAAATGCAACACATATGATAGAACATATATAGTGGGCCCCTCCTGTGATAATCATAGCATTTTTCAATGAAGATGTTTTTTTGTTTTGCGCGGGGCTCGCACACTGTCAGGGGAAGGTGAAAAGGGTCACCACACTAGGCACCTGGCCTCCGATTTACAACAGCAGCGGTTCCAGTCTGATATTTCCTCATAATTCATTCCTAGATCAAGCTCTCGCGCGGGATACCTTCACAATGTATACAGGAATCGCGCTCTCGCGTGGGACTCCCTCGCAATGTATTAAGACATCGCGCCTCGACGCGCCAGAATCACATTCTCGCTGTGGATTTCTCCCGATTTGCATGGGAATCGCGCTATCGCTCCAGCCTTCCACGCGGTTCATCCAGGACGCACGCTTCAGCAACGCGCCTGCTCGACCTGGCCGCCTGGGCCCGCCTTCCCGACCCGCCCGTTAGGGTCCACATACCCGATCTGCCCGGTTGGTTCTGCCACGTGTTTTCTGTTCCTAGCCTCCCTCCTGCTAATCCGCGTAGCACGTAGCAGGTAAGAAAGATATGTACATCCAAAGGGGTACGATCGAAGACGCAGATGGCGGGTATCGAGGGTTTGGGATGTACGTGTTGAGTGGCACGCGAGCAGATCTGAGCGAACAGTCTTACAACGATTGTTGTTGTTGATCCTCCCTCCCCTGTAACGATTGCAATTTTCAATTTAAGTGTTTCTCTCGGGACTCGCACCCTGCTTTGTACAAGGGAAAGCGAGGTGTGCCCAAATTGCGCCCCTGCCCCCCCTGTTTACAGCAACAGCGGCTCTCGCCGGATATTTCCTCGCAGTTGATTCCGAAATCGCGCTCTCGCGCGGGACTCCCTTGCAATTTATGCAGACGCCGCGCATTCGACACGCAGGAATCACGCTCTCGCTTTGGCCCATCTCACGATTTACTTGAGAATCGCGCTATAGCTGGAGCTCTGCTCGCGACTCATGCAGGACGCACGCTTCAGCAACCCGCCTGCTCGACCTGGCCGCCTGGGCCCGCACTCTCGACCCGCCTATGAGGGTCTACCCGCCCGATCTGCCCGTCTGGTTCTGGCATGTGTTCCGTGCTCCTGGTCCCCCTCCTGCTACTCTCTTTCTCTCGTGCCCCATCCCCCTCCCTCCCCATGTTCCCTTTCTTCCATCCGTCCTCCTCCTCCCATGCCGTAGAGGCTGCATGAAAAACACGTTGCAGGTAAGATTGCTATACCCCTCAGTGAGAACGATCCAAGACAAAGAGGGCGGGTACTGCTTGATACTTGCTCCCGGTGACGCCTCACACGTCATGCAGGACTCGCGCTCTCGCGTGGCATTTCTTCGCAAATTATTCAGATGCCCCGGCCTCGACACTGTAGAATCACGCTATCGCTATGCAATCCAAAAATGTACATGGGAATCGCGCTCCTCGCGACATGCTGAACGCACGCTTCAGTAACCCGCCTGCTTGACCTGGCCGCTTGGGCCCGCATTCCTAACCCGCTCGTTATGGTCTACCCGCCCGATGCCCGTCTGGTTCTGCCACGTGTGTTCTGTTCCTAGCCCCCCTCCTGCTTCTCCCTCTCCCTCTCTCTCGTGTCCCATCTCTTCCCCTACCGTAGGGACTGCACGAAATACACGTTTCAGGTAAGAGAGATATCCGTAAGGGCTTCGCCCATGCCGCGGGCCCCCTGTTTCGAATAATGGGAGATGCAAAAGCTAAATCATGAGGTCTGGGCGCCGCCGTGAAGCAGTGTCGGGACCTGTTTGTTTTTTTTCGATTCTAACCCTACAGATCTGCGTCACGGGTTCCACCGAATGGCAGACATGTGGCACATCCTTTGTGTTTTTTTTTGTTTTGTAATATGGACCTTGACCCCGCCGTTATGTGTGAGGGTGCCAACGAATGTCAGACATGTGGCAAATCCATTGTGTTTTTGGAGGGGTGCCAGCAATTTTCAGACATGTGGCAAATCCCTTGTGATTTTGGACCCTGACCCCGCCGATCTGCTTGAGGGGTGCGACCGAGTTTCAGACATGTGGCAAATCCCTTGTGATTTTGGACCCTGACCCCGCCGATCTGCGTGATGGGTGCCAACGAATTTCAAACATGTGGCACATCCTTTGTGTTGGTGAACCCTGACCCCGCCGATCTGCGTGAGGGGTGCCAGCAAATTTCAGACATGTGGCAGATCCCTTGTGTTTTTGCACCCTGACCCCGCCGATCTGCTTGAGGGGTGCGACCGAATTTCCGACATGTGGCAAATCCCTTGTGTTTTTGGACCCTGACCCCGCCGATCTGCGTGAGGGCTGCCAGCAATTTTCAGACATGTGGCAAATCTCTTGTGATTTAAGAAGCAGAACTGCAACAAGGAACAGAAATCAGCAAGACGCAGAACTGTAACAGTGGAAACTGGCAGCTGCAACTGGTACAGGAAACTGCGAACCTTCGCCCTACAGCCTGGTGGCCCCACAAGGGGGCCAGCGGATACTCCCAAGGGGGTACGGTCCAAGACGAAGAAGGCGGGTATCGTTGGCTTGGGATATACGTATTGAATGGCACGCGAGCAGGCGAGAGCAAACAGTCTTAGTCTGATTGTTGTTATTGCTGTTGTTGTTGAACATTATTAATTCTAAAGAATAATTATTGTTGGGCCCCCTGGTGCGCGCCCCCCCCGCCGCGCCTAGGCCGCAGCCACGTTTTCATCATTTTCGTGAGGAAGCCTCAGGTAATTCGAGTTGATCAAGATCCGGTTGTTTTGTTGTAATCCGCTTTCCCTTGCAAAAAACACTATAAAATGAAATTTCTTGTTCAAATATAATCAAATTTCAAGAATCCCTTGCAAAAAATAAGGTAAAGTGGACATTCGCGCGCGCAAGACGAAATCCTTCCAAAAGCTTAGTGTTCGGAGCGATTTTAACATAAAAACATCAAAAAACCAATGGTTTTTCAACAAAAAAATGTCAAAATCTCATCCCGCGCGCTCTTGCGGATTCGTAGGAAACCCAACACTTTTTAAACATTTCTGTCAAACGGGCTTTTGCGAGCAACTTTTTCGAACTTCTGCGACAACGGTTGCGCACCTGCCAGGGCCATCATCCCTGTCAAATAATACCATGCGGGACACATTCGTTTTTTCTTCGCGCGCGCACGCCGAAATCTCCAAAAACCATTGGGTTCTTAAGTTCTGTGGGTGTGTACCCCACGCCAGTGTAGTAGCCACGGTCGTCCGCACGCCACGAAGTGAAGTGTCCCAACGTCATAGGGCGGGAAGCTGGGTTTGGGTGGTCGCGAAGAGTCGTTTGGATATTTGGTAGAGCTTGTAATGCCCCCCCACGAAGTGGGGGTATTGCCTGGTGTCGTATGAAAACCCTGGCACTGGGGAGAACACCACGCGTTCGGGTAAAATGATTGGTATTGTTGTTGTTGTTGTTGTTGTTGAAGTCTCAGTTCGAAAGAATGTTTGTATTTATCCTTCCCGGTAACCAGTGTATGTTTCAATCAAAGTCTATATCTAGGGGTTCGCACCCTGTTTTTATCGAAGCAACGTGCGATGCCACCAATTTGTGTTGTTGGCCCCAGGTGTACATCAACAGCGGTTTCCGCCTGATACTTCTTCAAAATCGATTCCGCAATTGCGCTGTCGCGTGGGACTTCCTCTCGATGACTGCAGGAGTCGCGCTCTCCTGTGGAACCTTCTTCGTTATTTTTTCAGACAGCACGTTTTCGACACTCAGGAATTACATTCTCGCGTTTTTTTTTCGATTTACATGTGAATCGCGTTATCGCTCGAGCTCTCCCCGATGGGCCCGTCTGGTTCTGGCACGCGTTTTCTGCTCCTAGCCCCCCTTCTGCTATTCTTTCTCGTGTTCCATCCTCCTCCGTCCCCCTTGTCCCTTTCTTCCATCCGTCCTCTCTTCCCCTGCCTTAGGGGCTGCACGGAATGCACGTTGCAGGTAAGAGAGATATACCCCTAATGTTTCCCGATCGAAGGCGAAGAGGGTGGCATCGAGGGTTTGGGACATACGTATTGAATGGCGCGCGAGCAGATGAGCGAAGAGTCTTAAAATGATTGTTGTTGATGGTGATGTGGTTGGAAGGTCAGGGTCACTTCCCTCCTGGGCCCCTGGGCTCGCCGCCGAGAGGCCGACTGCCGCCTGCAGTCAGCCGGGGCGCCCGGGCCCGCCGGTACGCCAGCGCCTCCCTCGGAAGCCGCCTGGCGCCCGCTGCTCCCGCGCCTGCCGCCCGTGGCCCGGGCGCAGCGCTCTGCCGCCCGGGCGCTCGCGTGGGAGCGCGGGGCGGACGCGGTGCGGCGGCTGCTGCAGGTCGGAGGCGGAAGATCTTCGGAGGCGACGACAGGGGCGAATAGCCCAGGGGGGGGGGGCAACACACGTATCCAGGGCCTCCGCTCGCCCCTGTCTTCGACGAGGCTCCCGGGCGAAGGCGTGCAACGCCCGCCCCTGGGCGGTCCGCCCCTGTCGTCCGCCCCACGTGTCGGAGAGAAGAAGGCATAGGCTCTTCGCCATTTCTGGCCTCCAGAGGCCCGCACCGGGCCTCGGGAGCGTAGCAGCTGGTCCTATATGGTGAATGGGTCCGGACTTCCGGGGGCCCCGAGCGCTGTTCGTGCCTCAGATCGTGGGCTCGCGATGTTTTCCCAACGAGGGATTATTGCCTTGTTTCGGGCCGCGGGATCCTCACACATTGATCCGGCTCGAGAAATGACACAGAAAGTTGGGGTCTGGGGTTCCAGCGGTGATTTTTCGCGATGTCGCATTTTTTGTTGCAACGTCAGATCTGAGGAGCTGTCGGGTAAATACGAGCCCTACCCTCGCCGGTCAACGATTCAGGCAACTCGATGGGCGGCGGGGGTAGGGTTTGGGATTCGTCGAACGCGTGGCGAAATCCGAACCCTCCCCCAGCCCCCATCGATTTAGGAGAATATATGGCGGGTGGGGGAAAGGTTCGGATGTCGCCATCTAATGGGAGCGCGCATCAAGAAAGCGAGCGCTTTTCGCCAGGGTACACTGGGTTTCTGCGCTCCGCGCGCTGCGCTGTGACCTCCCGTGGCCGTTGAAGGAGCTGCTGCGTTCAGGGTGCTTCGGGTTTGCCCCCACTTGCATCTCGCATTTTCAGGGCTGGAATTCTTGCGAGGGTTTCTTGCGGCCGCGTCCGCACTGAACACCTCCCTCGCTTCGGCCTTTTTGGGCCTCCGGGGAGACCCTCGCCTCCACGGCTGGATTCTCTGCGAAATTCTGGTCAGAACACCTCGGGAGAGATTTGTCTAACTGTGCCCAGTCTTTAATGTTGCATTCATTCCCCCCTATGCTCTCGGCTGGGAATAATCGTCCTCCCTCTCCTTCTCGCCCTCCCCTTCTCGCCCTCTTCTTGATTTGCGTCGCCCTCGTCTCCTCGCCCGTGTCGTCGTCCCGATCGTCGTCGGCGCCGTCTTCATATTGGGTTCGTGAGCAGTAGGAGGTCGCCATAGTTGTGCTGAGCTTGTTCGACGCAGGCCGCGCGTATGGTTGCTGTTGCGCACTAGTGCTCGTCGTGTTGGATACTGTTGGGTTCTCGTTCCTCCAAACGGATAATTATTCTCTTGCACTGGGTGTCTAGAGCTCCGACAACTTGATTTCGGCACGGCACCCCCTCCATCACCCACACATTTCACCAGCCAGCGCGCCCCTCCGCCCCGACCCTTTTATTTCGGCACGGTACAGCCCTCCGCCTCGACCCCTTGATTTCGGCACGGCGCACCCCCTTCCACACCCCCTCCGCATCCCCCCCACCCACCAGCCAGCGCGCCCCTCCGCCCCGAGGCCTTTTATTTCGGCACGGCACACCCCTCCGCCCCGACCCATCTTATTTCGGCACGGCACACCCCCGCCTTTCCCCCACCCGCCAGCCAGCGCGCCCCTCCGCCCCGACCTTCTTAATTTCGGCACGGCGCACCCCTCCGCCCCGATCCCTGTATTTTGGCACGGCACATTCCCCTTCCGCATCCCCCAACTCACCAGCCACCGCGCCCCTGCGCCCCGACCCTTTTTTTTTCGGCACGGCACACCCTCCGCCCCGACCCCTTTCTTTCGGCACGGCGCACTCCCTCCGCATCCCTCCACCCACCAGCCAGCGCGCCTCTCCGCGCCGACCCCTTTTCATTTCGGCACGGCACACCCCCCCGCGTCCCCCCACCCACCAGCCAGCGCGCCCCCTCCGCCCCGACCCCCTGTATTTCGGCACGGCCCCCCCCCCGCGCGCACTCTCCGTTCCAACCTCCTATTTCGACACGGCACACCCCTCCGCCCCGACCCCTTTCTTCCGGCACGGCGCACCCCCTCCACATTCCCTCCGCACCCCCCCCGCCCATCAGCCAGCGCGCCCCTCCTCCCCGACGCCTTTATTTCTGCACGGCACACCCCTCTGCCCCGACCCATCTTATTTCGGCGCGGCACACCGCTTCCGCATCCCCCCACCCACCAGCCAGCGCGCCCTTCCGCCCCGACCCCCTGTATTTCGGCACGGCACCCCCCCCTCTGCCCCGACCCATCTTATTTCGGCACGGCGCACCCCCTCCGCATCACCCCCACCCACCAGCCAGCGCGCCCCTCCGCCCGGACCCCTTTATTTCGGAACGGCACCCCCCCGAATCCCCCAATTCACCAGCCAGCGCGCCCCTCCGACCCGACCTTTATTTCGGTTCGCCCCCCCCGTCCCCGCGCCCCCTCCGCCCCGACTTTTTTTATTTCGACACGGCGCACGGCACGCCCCTCCGCCCCGACCCCCTTTATTTCGCCCCCCCCCGCGCGCCCTTCCGCCACCACACCACCTCTTATCCGGCACGACGCACCCCATCCGTCCCGACCCCTTTATTCGGCACGGCACACCTCCTTCCCCCCCCCACACCAGCCAGCGCGCCTTCCGCCCCGACCCCCCTTTATTTCGGCACGGCACACCCCTGCGCCCCGACCCCTTTATTTCGGCACGGCACACCCCCTCCCACCAGCCAGCGCGCCCCTCTTCCCCGACCCCTTTTACTTCGGCACGGCACACTCCTGCGCCCCGACCCCTTTATTTCGGCACGGCGCACCGCCTCCGCATCCCCCCGCCCACCAGCCAGCGCGCCCCTCCGCCCGACCCCTTTTTTATTTCGGCAAGGCACACCCCTCCGCCCCGACCCCTTTAGTTCGGCACGGCACACTCCCTCCGCATCTTCCCACCCACCAGCCAGCGCGCCCCTCCGCCCCGACCCTTTTTTTATTTCGGCACCGCACACCCCTGCTCCCCGACCTCTTTTCTTCGGCACGGCACACCCCCTCCGCATCACCCCCACCCACCAGCCAGCGCGCCCCTCCGCCCCGACTTTTTGTTTTTTCCTTTTCTAGACGCTTCGCGTATCTCCACCAGCCTCCGTAGCCCCCCTGGCTCAAGCCGTCTCGGCTCGAACCCGCCCCCGCCAGGTGCGCGCCGTGCCGGGCCGCGACATGTCTGCCGCTGCCGCCGCCAGCGCAGTCACCGGCGCTGCCCTGCGGCGGCGGCAGCGGGTTGCTGCTGCCGCCCGCGGGCCGCCGTGGCTGGCCGCCGCCGCCGCCGCTGCGCCTGCAGCGGCGGCTGGTGGCGGTGGGCTGCCCGCCGACGCGCTCGCCGCGGCCGCCGCTGCCGCCGCCGCCGCCGCCGCCGCGGCCGCCTCGGGCGGGCCGCTGGCGGCGGCTGCTGCGGCTGGCGTCGCGGCTGCCGCGGCCTCCCTGCCCGGTGGCGATGCCGCCGTTGCCGTCCTTGCCGCTGCCGCTGCCACTGCCGCCGATGCTGCCGCTGCCAGCTCGTCGCCGGCGGCGGCGGCGGCGGACGGCAGGGCGGCCGGCCTCGCGGTGTCCGGCACCACTGGCTCTGCTGGGGCGACTGGGCGCCGTACACTGGATCCCCGCTGCGCGTCATCGAAAACTCGTTGGACGCTCTAGCCCAGCGGGCCCCTGGGACCCTACTGGCTTCACAGCGGATGGCAGCACGGACGCATCCGCCCGCCGCCGACGGCTCACTGAGCTGCAGCAATGCCGCGCGAGCATGCTGGCGACCATGGGCTTCATCGAGCCCGAGATCACGGGGCAGCTGCCTGGCCACCTGTCACCTTCGGCTGGCCTGGAGTTCGCCGACATCCCGCGCGGGCTCGGTGCGCTCCCGAAGGACCCTGCCGCGGCCTGGGCACAGATCTTGGCGCACGGTACTTTCTGCGGACTGTCCCAGGACCAGTCCGCGGACATCGCGGCTGATGCGCGCAACTTCGCCTTCTCGGTGTTGACGTCCAGCGACCCCGCGGCGGACATTGCGAACGGCCGCCTTGCCAGTATGGCGATCCTCGGCATGTTCCTCCAGGACTGCCGGATTGGCTCCGCTCAGGGCGATGGGGCGCTGTGCAATGGATCCCCGCTGCGCGCCTTCAAGCTCGAGAGCGAGCTGGGCGTTCAGGACCCCGCGGGCCTTTGGGGCCCTGCTGGCTGCACAGCGGATGGCTGCGCGGAGAATCTCGCTCACCAGCGGCAGGCAGAGCGGAAGAACGGCCGCGTGAGCACGCTGGCGACCATGGGGTACATCGCGCCTGACATCGTTGGCAAGCTGCCCAAGTCGCCTTCGGCTGGCCTGGAGTTCGCGGACATTGCGAGCGGCCGCCCTGCCAGGTCGGCGATCCTCGGCATGGTCCTCCAGGACTGCCGGATTGGCCCCGCCCAGGGCGATTGGGCGCTGTACACTGGATCCCCGCTGCGCGCTTTCGAGAGCGAGCTTGGCGTTCAGGGCCCAGCGGGACTCTGGGGCCCTGCTGGCTGCACAGCGGATGGCTGCGCGGAGAATCCGATGCGCGACTCCGAGACGTGCGGTGCAGCCAGCGACTCGGTTGCGCGCCAACCTGGAGACGACGACGCTGACGACCGACGCGACGACGACCGATACTTACTTGCTGGCATCGTCGTCCCTTCTGACGCCCGGATCCCGCCTGGAGGCTTTCCCTGGGCCCAGCGTCTCTGGAATCCTCGGGTCGGCTCTCTCTGAGGCCCCTGGCGCGGACGCGAGAGATCTCGATGCTCTCAACGACATCTCGGAACATAGCAGCAGCAGCAGCACCAGCAACATGCCACCCCCCGCATCGTTGGCATATGATGACGTCCCAGAGGGGAATCGAGAGGCGGTAGCTTGCAGTGATCAGTGTGCAGCCCACGCTAACAACCCCCCCTTCAGCAGCACCAGCAGGGCAGAGGAAAGGAGAGGAGTTGCCTCGAACAGGGAGGTGGGCAGCACACAGAGGAGAGCTGCAGACACCAGCAGAGCAGCAGCAGCAGCA